TTTTTCCGTTTAGAGGAGACGGGAGTAGGGGGCAAAAGTTAGAAAATAGATGGAACTGTCTCAGCTGTTTTTTCCGCGGTTGTAGCTTCGAATCCTAGCATTTTAATTGTCGAGTTATTTGAATTTCGGCTCGTTATTAAACTTTGAAGGCAATCGTCTGGGGAATTGTGCGGACAGTGTTTCAAGTGTGCATTTTTACTTTTACAATATAAAATTATTAAAGGTGTTAATCTGCAAAGCAGGTATATGGCTGGAACTAAGAAGCCTGAAAATTGACGACTTACGTCGGCTGTGCATGCCAACTTGTCAACATAGAAAAAAAATATTCGTGTGTGGGAAAGAATCTCCTGAGGACAAGTGCAGTTAGAGTTCTCACAGCGTGAGACAAAGTTTAAAATATTTTTAAATGGAGCATTCATAGGTGTTTTGTTAGAAATTTTGATGAATAATTTAGTATTGACGGCACCGATGTTACTTGTTTAAATAATTGATATTTAACCTCCTAGAAAAAGGCGTTTTAACAGATGCTGTCTGTTAATTCTAAAGAGAGGGTTTCGGATGATAAATAACTGCTCCTAACACAGGTAAGCTTTGAACCTGGCTTTGAACGTTACCTTACAAAACCATTTATTCATTTTTATAAGGGGTCTGTCGTTTAGCAGTTAAAACAAGTTCTTTTACGATCACAATATGAGACGCGCTGTATTATTTTGCGCTGCTGTTAATTCAACGGCAACTAAAAAGTCCCATTGCAGCGAAAGGTGTCTAACAATTTATAACATTCAAGGAATCCATTCCAACATGGCCTAAGAATTCAACACGACTGAAAGCGCGCTCAGCAGGGGGATTAGATGTCATAAATTCACGTCCACCACTCGTACGTAATTCAAGATATCTTGTGTACAGAATCTTCAACACAATTAGTATTCCTGACAAGAATTTTATCAAGTTGTTTGACGTCACTACAGTGCTGATTGTGGTCGATTTTTTCTTGCAGAAATGTTCTTATTACGTGTTTATGTACTTAGTTTCGTTCTGACTTGGACAAGCGTACCTGCAGGGAGAGTTCAGAGTAAGTTCAATAAATACAATGCAAGTACAACATTATATTAAGCCCTCGAAAAATGAAATTAAAGAATTAGATAATTCATACAATAAGAAA